CCTCAGAACACGATGTATTCTTATAGAATGGTCTAGGGGACAAGAAGAGTGATTGACAACTGCAGAAATTACATCTGAGGTTTAGTCCTGCAGGAAAAGGGGATACAAATTGCCTGCAAATTATCCACAAGTCCCTGATGAGCCTAAGGAGAAAATTTAAGAAGCTTCAGTCTTTCTTCAGCAAACACGTTCATGTTTCCTTTTGCTATAACAAACAAACACCCAAGAGAAATTATCCCGGAAAACACTACTTTTGTTTCTTATCCTTGTCAAATGTGATAATAGGAAATGTGTAAATGTCAATTAATACCCTTTTTCGTGTGCCAATAGTGTTCTGTGTATGATTCTGAACAGAAGAGGTATATGAGCTCTGATGGATGGGTTTATAATGTAAGGAAGAAATTAGGTTTTATGCTATAAAAACACATGGTGTTAACTTTATAGGGTGCATATGAAATAGCCTGTAAGGATTTTCACTGCTGATCTCAATAAACATGCATCACTTAGAAGAACTAAATACAATAGAATAATGGTAACAGTAATGATGATTGATACTTAGACGTCTAAAGGAACAGGTTATACTTCTCTTCTAAGAGTACATGAAAGTATGATGTCCTAGACTTTGCACATACCTGGCTTACAATCTTGACTTCCTAAGGTACCAGCACAGTTCTACTCACAATGTGATCAGCAGACCAGTACTGATTCTCAAACTTTTTCTTCCATGTCTTGATATGGTAAGTACAGAAATTGAGAATAAACATTTAGAACTTCTTAATATCGATGTGACAGAGTAATTGGATGTCTGTTGCGTCTCATAATAACAAATTGGGGGCTTGCATGATTTTGTCTTTTTAAATTTCATTTTTTAAGCAACTCAGTTTTTTACCTTATTTTACAGAAGTATTTGTCTATGACAAATTGGGGGAAAACTGGGCCCTTAACACAGATAGTTTGAGAAACACTATTCTAGAATGTTGTAAAACAATTGATGATATACATAGAAACCACCTGTATATGCCTAAGGCTTCTCACCTGGAAAATGGATTTAAGGATAGCACTTACCTCTTGAAGCTGGCTCTGAGAATGAAGGGGAGATAGATGTATGTAAGGTACTTGGCATGGTGCCTACCCTTGGTAAGTATCCCCACAACATTGGTTCTTAGAGTTATCGAATAAGTAAGACTTGCAGAGGGGCCATTCTGAATTATTTGCATGTGGGACACAGCTTTTGTTTGTAACAGGTCGTTGGTGAATAACTCCTTCAACATGTAACCTCCCTCTGGAATTGGGCTGCTTCGTTCGACAGACTAGGAGTTCATTCACCGCTGATTTGCATGAAGCAACCAACATTTGATTTTTGGTCTCAGGACTATTCAGTGTTAACTGCTCCACTATCATGGTGTGGAATGTCTTTCTGTGTGTTTCCTTTGGTTTTCCTCCATTCATTAAGTTGAGTGATTGCTGTGACCCTCAATAACTGAATTATTCTGATCTTTTTCTTTTACTAAGCACCTGTATTATTTGGGGACTAGGGTAAAATGACTTGTCACTCGTAGGTGGAAAGTATGGAGACGTAAACTTGTTTCAAAAGACGCATCACTTTAGGTGGTAGTTCATAGGGCAAAGAAAAACATATGCAGTCTCTTCTGGTGAAAGAGGCCAAACGATCTTTTAAAAGTGTGTTTTGGCTAAATGTCAGAATCGAAGGTCACTGCCTCTTCAACAGGCATTCGTTGTGGCCAAAGAAAGCTACCTATTTCAAAGCATAAATGATTAATTGAGGATAATTCAACCAAAGAGGTTTTCCTTTTTGAATTACAGTACAATATGATGGAGAAAATGAGGTTTTATAGTTGGACTAGCTTGGGTCCAAATCATGGTTTTGCAATTTAACTGGACCCATCAGACAAGTCCTTTACTCTCTTTGACCCTCAGTTTCCTAACCTATAAATCAGGGGCTAATGAGACAGTGTTTGAGCATAATAGGTGCTTAAATAATATTAAGTCCCTTCTTTATTTAGTTAGTAAACTTCAATTATTTTTCTTTAAAATAATCAATGAGATGATTTTAACAAGATTCCATGAATAGAATCAGATTTTTAAATATAATATGTCAGTATTTACTTTTAAAAACACGCATTGGATTTGGCACGTTCAACAACAGACTGTTTACAAATGTGACTGACTCTTTCCAAGGTGAAGCATCTTCAACTCCTTTGCACTCTGCCTAGAACTCTCTGCTCTAGCCGGAATAACTTTCCCATGCGCGTGACTTGGCTCGTTCTTATTTTTAGTCCATTGTGTTTAGCACTCTTCTTGAAATGACCTTCTGTCGCCTCCCTGGCAAACCCCACACTCCTTTAAAATCGTTCATTATTCACGTGGTCCTGAATTGGCAGAAACATATCTGGTCAAGCTATTCATTCTGGACCATCTTCCAGGGAGCTGCACTAGTCCCCATTTTGACATATTTTCTTGCTAATATTTCCTACACTTTTTTCGTATTTATAGATTCTTTCTCCCTATCAGAACAATAAAGTTCCACTCCTTGGGTTACACTGAGGACATTCAGGATCAGAGAGGCTGTCACTTGCTCAAGGCTACACAATTTATGGCTGATTTTAAACAGGTAGCCAGTTCTTTGGGTTTTTCCTTTGGTATTGTTTTCATTTCACGACCCTACTTCACTTAGTAGAAAATGGTCGGTATTACCGACAGACCGACTGAGAAACAGTGGGGGAACTCCAGGCACGGAGAGACAGCTCTAGAAGGAGTAAGAGCGGATGAGGGGCACATAGTGGGGTTCAAGAGATGGAGTGAGAGAGGGAGAAAGCATGCCTCAAAGAAATAATTGGCTTACACCAAGCATTTCACATTCAAGGGAAATAAGAAACACCTAACAGCAATACCACCACCACATTTCTGCTTTGCTTCTATTTTGTGCCTAATAAGCAACACAATTGTCACTGCCAATGAAAACAGCAACATCACTGTGCTTTTCCCCTGGCGCTAACTCTAAACAACCTACTGGATTTGGGTCAAAATTGTAAACTGCCGGCATGTTAAAAATAAAAACAGAAAAACAAACCTGGCCTTTTCCTTTAGGGTTGTGAGAGTGAATGCAGGACAAGAGCCAGGGAAAAGAGTTACTATAAAAAATAACCAGTGCAGACATCCTTGAACTGATGTTTTCTATAAAAATCTGTTGGCTGTGAATTGAGAAGAGTGAAGTCGGGAAGGAGAAAGGAATGGGGAATCAAGTGGTGTCTGCTTATCGTCAGCTGGCTTTCATGTAAGAGTCATGGCAGGGTCAGCAACAAACTAGCCAGGTGGCAACTCCAGGCCATGCTGCCATAAATAAATAGTTATGTACTAATGTCACACAACCGGAGCTAGATGCAAAGCATATGGGAAGAAAACATTCTGATGTAAATATTCAAAAGAATCTATGGTTGCTGAATTCAGGATCCATGTTGATACTGGACTTGGAGACGCCTGGGAGAATAAAGTGGTGAAGCTTTTTTAAAACATGGACTAAAAGATTCTTTGAAATATAGATTGTTTCCTTTCAAAAAAAAATTCTTAACCTTTGGCCTAAGAGAGTGTGACTTTTTTGTGTGTAGTAATTAAGCATTACTGAGAGTTGGCAAGAGCACAGACCCTGGAACCAAATTTCAGGAGTTTAAACTTTACTCCTGCTGCTTACTTGTTCTCATGACCGCTGAAGAGTTGCTTAACCTTTTCATGCCTCAGTTTATTCACCCTGCACAAAAAGGAGGACGAGGAGGATGGCAATAGTACCCGCCTCTTAGAAAATTATACAGATCAAATAAAAGTCAACGTGTAGGGAGCAAACAACACCTGGTAAATGTCCTGACCTATCACTATCAAGTAGTCTTATACAGGCTCTTTATCTTCCACAGACTATTTGCTGGAAGCTAAGCTAAGGAATCCATTCCTTGTACTATCCTATTTAATCTTACGAATAACCCCATGAATTAAAAATCAATTTTACAGACAAAGGAACTGAGGTTTAGACGGATTAAGAAATTTATCCAAGGAGGCATATCTAAGCTAAACTTCTAACCCAGGCCTTATTCCAGATTTAAAAAAAAAAAAAAATTAACCGTTTACACGTTATTTAAAATCTAAACACTTTTTCTTTCATTTGCTTAAAATGTTAAAATTTGAAAAGAAACATGACACATGGCCTTTTAAGAACCAAATAGATTTTTTAAAAGGATTAAAGGAAGCACTGATGTCCTAATCAATGGCCTCGGGATAGCTGAGATCCATTCACAACACATACACAAAACAGATAAATTCGTTCACTGACTTATTTCTCCAAACATTTATTGAATGCCTACTATTTTTTGAGAGCTGGGGATTCACAGATGAATAAGTAATGATTTCAGTTCTTGAGCACCTGTGAGGAGTGAGAGTGATATTGTTGACTGCGCGCTGTTTGATGATGTGGGTTTTGTTTTCTAGCCTGTTTCCCAACAGGGCCAAAACTGTGTTCCTTGCCAGCTGCAGAAATTGTCAGACTTCCCTCAACACAAGCCAAGCTGTACGTCTACAGCGATTCTAGTGGGTTTTGGGTTTTACAGCTCCTCCGCTGACGCTCGCAGGGCGCAGGGAGCCTTGAACCGAGAGAAGGCGTATTTCTTTGTAGGCCAGTCTCCGATTGGAGCTGCAGTAAAACGGGCGCGATTGGAAGCGTATTCAAATCGCGCGCCCTGGCAGTGGTTTTCTCGGGCTCAGGCTTAATGATCACGGTTACCCGTGGGCCCTGCTGCGTTGTCGATGCGCCAGGACTTCCTGGCTTCTGGCAACAGGGAAGGCATGACCGCCAAGAGCATTCCACATTAATCCCAGGTGGGTCCTGCCCAGGGACCTGCCAGTAGGATTTAGGCGGCACCTCTGCCTGTGGCCGTTACTTCCTGGTTGGCTTGCCCTTAAGTAACATGGCGGCAGGTTGCCTTCGGCCGGGCCCTCTGCGGCTGCTCAGAAAGCCAAGGAAGGGCAGTCGGTCTACAGCCCGCCTCCCGCCGCGGAGCTGCAGGCTGAAGCCCGGGCTTGTGCAGCCAGGGGTGCAGGAGGGAGGGTAGGGGCAAGCCCAGAAACTCGGGAACACAACGCTGTGCCGCATTGTGCCCACCCCTCGTCTCCCGACACGAAGGCTGCTCAAGCCCAGGGTGTTTTTTTCCTTTTCACTGCCACCTCCCAGTCCCTGGCCCAACATGATACTGACTAAAGCCCAATACGACGAGATAGCCCAGTGCCTAGTGTCTGTGCCGCCTACCAGGCAGAGCCTGAGGAAGCTGAAGCAGAGGTTCCCCAGGTAAGTGCCCATCTACCCCCCTCAAAGAGACCTTTGCTTGCAGTAGCTGTGCCTGGCAGCCCAGCCAGTGCTTAGAAACCACGTGTCACACATGACTGGGGAGGAACATGAGTGTCAGGTGTTAGGAGAGCAGGAATGGTGAAAAAGGTTTCTTCTTTGACCTGCTTTTCTCAGGAGAGTCTTAATGGACGAATCCCTTCAAGTCAACAAATGTTTATTGAAAACTTGGTTTTTGCTAGGTGATGGGTGCATATAAGTAGGTGCGGCATAAATGTCTAGGGGTTGACAGATACTAGGAATGAATGATGGGTAGCAGGGCCCTCTCAAAGTGGAAATATGAATTGTAGATTCAAAAGGTGGAAATGGAGGACCCTTTTCAGTTGGCCTCTGGAAACAAACAAGGGAGTACAGGCCTAAAGGGGCCTTTTATAGTTTACTGTGGCTCTTTACTGTAATGAAGTGACCGCAAGTGTTCTCAAGCCAGTCAGAGACTGGTACCCTATGGATTCCACTGTTGGGTCAAGATTGGTCATTTGAACAGCCATACCAGGTGTATTTCATACTTCCCTCCTCCCCAAGCATGTCTTTTTTTTTTTTTTAGTGATTTTTAGGATTCTCCAACTTTCTAAGAAGGGACTTTAGCAACTATATGCTATAGATTGCCTCATTTTAAAGATGTGCAACCTGAGGCCCTGGCATTACCCAAAGAACCAGTCCAGAACAACCAGGTTATTGTATTTGTGCCATGTTAAAAGTATAGAATGTTCGTTTACCTTTCTTCTATTTCAAAACCAAATCCAAACTTATACCATGTTACTTTGTGGCACTGAGCACCATTAGCTTCCTTGTCTTTGACATCATCATGGAAGTGTTTTCTTGAGGAAAGAGATTATTGGATAATTGGTATTAGTAAAGTACAAATTGAAGGTCTTTTATAATCTCAGTTGTTTTTGAAGGACTCAGTTTTCCTAATCTGTAAAATGAAGGGATCTCTTTTTAATATTACCCAGATTTAATTTAAACCTTTATAGTCTAAGATTTTTTTCAGACTTGCTAACAAGGAACAAAATTGACAAATTGGAATTTAATTTTCTGTCATTAACTCTTTGCCAACTCTGCCAATGAACAGTGAAGGGTGAAGGCTGGTCAGCTAAGGGGATAGGTAGATTTTTCTGGGCAATTTTAAGATACAGCACACATTTAGATAATTCTGCTCTTGTTACGTACTTATATTAGCACTGTATTTTTGCTTCTCTTTCTTTTCCTTTCCCTCTTCTCTTTCTCTCTCCCAAATTTCTTTTCTTTCATTCTTTTCCATAGCAAATACCTTGTCCTCTACGTTAGAGGTAACCTCCTTTTACTGTTATTAAGGACTTATGAAGTATACGTAAGAAAGACTCCATTCGTTTGGGGCACCATGCTGTCTTGCTTATTCTCGTATGCCCTTTTTTCTCTTATGCATAATATGGCCAAATATTTTTTGCTTCTCCCAAATACCATTCAGGGTATAACTAACTCTTCATTTACCAGAAACTTTATTGAGAGAGGCTGCACTACCAATCTGCAGAAGGAATTAAAGAGCCATTTAGCAGCGTCGGTAGGAATTCCATAAAGAGTGTGATTTGGGAGTTGGCCTCACAGTTTGCATCATAGCACTGTTTTACTTTAGATGTTTCTTGCAAAGGACTTGAACAACCTTTAGATTTGATAGTTCATTTTGCCAGAGAATTGGTGAAGTAAGGACCTCAGAGATAATTTCTGGTGGCTCAAAGAGGTTAAGTGACTTGTCAAAAAGCCTAGAGTTATTGAATGGCTAAACAGTGTTTGGAATACAGGTTTCATGACTTTCAGGTCAGAGTTCTATACTAAGCTGCCTTAATTAGTTTTAATATTAATAACAAGCAATTATTTTTTGTGTGATGTTCACCTAACTTGAATTCTAAAAATAATCAAAGTACTGAAATGCTTTTAAAAGTTGCTAAAATTTTTTATTTTCCTGATTTTGAAAGTAGTACATGCTCAGTAAAGAAAATAAAAATTATTCATAATCCTATAGCTCCGAAAATTTCTGTTAACATATTTTAAAAATATTTCTAGTCTTTTTTATTCAGTGAGGTACTTTCTCTGCTAATGTAGTTTATAGGTCTTGCTTTTCTCACTTAATATATAGTGAGCATTACTCATCTTTAAAAATTCCTTATAATTTGTTTCAAATACTAATAATATCACATTCTAGATGTACCATCCATTTCCATATTGCTGGACATCAAGAGTTTTATTTTTCTAATTTTCTATTTCTGTACATATATTATGCCAAGTTTGCTTATTTTCTTACTTTAGAATCTTAGAAATTGGGAATGACCATATCAGCAGGTTTCAAACTTTTTGGTGTCCAGATCTCCTCACACTCTAAAAAAGTATTGAGGACCCCAGAAAACTTTTGTTTATATGGGTTATGTCTGTTGATGTTTATTAAAATATAAATTAAAACAGAAATTTTAAAAATTGCTTATTTATTTTAAAATAACAATAATAAACCTATTAAATTTAAACAATTTTAAAGGTTAATAACTATGATTTCAAAAAGCTAGTGAGAAAAATGGCCTTGTTTTGCACTTTTGCAAATCTCTTTAATATCTGCCTTAATAGAAGGAAGACATATCTGCTTCTGCAATCAACCTGTTGTGATATGCTGTTTTGATTAAAGAACATGAAGAAATTCTGGCCTCAGACAAATATGTAGTTGGAAAAGGGAAGAGTAATTTAATAGGCTTTTCAGATAACTGTGGGTATTTTTGTATATTGGGTATATTTTTGTATTGCAATGTGGAATGTGAAACCGTATTATAGAACTTTTTGGCCAGTCTTGAACTTTGAGTGGATCTATTACCCATGCATGATTTTTATCATCATGCATTGTTCATTTGCAAAATGTTGGTTGTGAGTTATGCAAGTCTTCTAAATGTTGTCACCTTTTATTATACAGCATCAAAAAAATCACATTTGTTAGTATCCCCACTGATCTCATCAGAAAAGTCTGTAAGATGTGAAGCTGTCACATTTACGGTGATGGATACAGTTTTCCAATATTTGATTTTCCCTTGAAAGCTCAAATTTTTTCGTTGGCAACAAATACTATCAGTTGTTTCCCTTGAAATGACAGGCTCATGTTGTTTATTTTTGAGAAAATGTCTGCCAGATATCCAAATCTGAATAATCATACTTTGTTCATCATTCATCCAAGTAAAAATGGTGTTTCATGGAAAAGGCATCTAGTTCAGCTCTCAAACAATCATACAAGTGCTTTCCCTTGAGACAGTCATAATACTTCGATATGCAGTAGACGTGCTTTGCATTTACTTAGTTTGTTATACAGAATGTTAGAAGAATGTGTATCAGGGGTTGAGATTTAATAAAATTAATAAGTGAATCTTAAGATATTCTTACGTGAAACTGGTTTTCTTTCTTCCTGCAAGTGTGTGACTCCTAGGACAGTTGTGCCAGGAAAAGGCAAATCATGTCTTACTGTTTCTATAAAAATAGTTTTGACCTTGTAGACTTCTGAGAGAGTCTCAGGGACTCCAGGGGTCCATTGACCACACTTTAACAACAAGTAGCTATTTCAAACCAAAGGATATTTATGTTTTGAAGGATTTTGAAGTGTATTGACAAATTACTATCAAAAAGATTGTATTAATCCAATTACCAACAGCACGTGGCAGTGTTTGTTTTTGCAACTTTTGTCAGTGTTGAAGAGAGTCATCATTTAGTCTTTAATATGATGGATCAAGAATGACATCTCATAATTTACATTTTTTGACTATAATGCATTGCATATTTTCCACATTGTTTATTAACCATTTAATTTTCTTCCTCTTGAATTACTTGCCTGATGTCCTTTGCCTAATTTTCTATCGGAGTGTTTGCTCTTTCTGTTTATTGATTTGTTATTGTTTATTGATCCGCATATCTTAAGGATGTTGATGCTTTACATGTCATATTTTTGTTGCAGATATTTTCCCAGTTGTTGTGCTTTTAAATATTGTTATTTTTTTATGTTCTTAACTTTAAACTTATGCTTCTTTTGTCCTTTCATGTCCTACGATATGAAAAATAAATCTTCCCCCTAAATTTTCTCCTAGGTGCTTTATGGCTTTCTGTCTTATTTTTAATTCCATAATCTTTCTAGCTGCAGTTTATTTTAGTATATGCTCAAAGGTGAATATATAGCTTCCTTTTTCCCAAGCTTAACTTTTATTTTACACTGTGGTTTCTACTTGCTAGCCTCATTTCTCCATGGCCTATTTGTTTTCACTGAAATTACAAATTTTTGTTTTTCCAAGTCGCTACATTGAACTTGGGCCATCACCTTAACCACTCTGGTCTCACGATCCTCCCACTTAAAATGAAGGAGTAGAATTTTGTGATGTCTAATATTTTACAACTCCTAAACTCACCCTTATTCTATTCTATTGTCTTTTGCAGTTTTACATTAAATGGGCCCTTTGACCCCCAAAACGTAGGAATACTGTATCTAAGTACTTGCTGAGGATATAGTCATTGATTTGCATCTCCCAACTTATTCCTGGACTTCCTTATTCAGGTAGAAGCCCCCAGCCCATTCAGCTGCTACTTATCAGGTCATATTTTACACTGTATTTTCCTGCCCAAACACTACATATATATCTGATTATATATCATTCTTTATTTATATATATAAATATTAAAGATGTATAAATATATATATATCTTATTTTGAAATTTTTAACTTAAAGAAAAGTTGCAGAAATGTTAACCATATATCCTTCACTCAGGTTCCCCTAATGTTAACATCTTACATAACCAACATACAATTGTCAAAATCAGGAAATTAATTTTAATGCAATATAGCCAAATAATTTACAGACCTGTTTTGAACTTTGCTAGTTTTTTTTGTTTGTTATTGTTCTTTTTTGTTTGTTTACTGTCTCTTTTCTATTTCAGGATCACACATTAGATTA